ATTAGGGCTGGTGTTCCGAGCAAACGTTGAATTTGGCGAAGCAATCGAGAAGTAGTAGTAGTAGTAGTAGTAGAAAGCTTGGTCAAGTTGGGACTTTGGGATTGTAAATGATTGGTTCGATGCAGGGAGGAAGGAAATGATGAGCTTGAGAAGAGAAGAGATTTTTTATTTTTTATTTAAAAAGAAAATCCGTTGTTGTTAGCTTTGCTATCTATCAGTACATAAACTCGACCGAACGGACGATGGAATAGACAGAGAACCGAGCAAGTTGGAATCGTAGGCTTGTGACACAGTGGAGACAAGAGACAACGACGACGAGGAATCGTAACTTTGCTATCTATTAGTTCGGGTCCTTCGTGAAATGGAACAGGGATGAGAGTTTAGGCAGGAAAAGAGAAATCAACAGAGTTCTCAGTCTCGTTTCGTCTCTGATCGCAGGGAGACTTCATATTGTCGTCAGTGAAATCACCGTCCGCTGGAGAAAACACTACAACCGGTGGAAGATGCTAGGATTTACCAGGGGCTTAGCAGGAAAGAACAGGAAGTAAGACTTGGATCGGGGGGCAGGGGGCCAATGGAATGGTGACTAACGGCAATTAAGGCTCTCCACTCGTGTATGCAATTCACATGATTTTGGGGACGCATGGCGTCCTCACGTTTTGTGAGGAACTTGCGAGGCGCCAGGCAGTCGGGAGCAAATCCGGACTCGCCCCCATGTGCCCCACCGCACATCAACTTTGAGATGTGCATATGCTCCATATTATATGGAGAATGCTTTGTGGGGAGCAAATCTGGTCTGACATTACTAAGGCCATCGTTTATGTTTTGTTACTCCAAAATTGCTTTCAATTGCATTTTTTTATGCTTAGGGCTGTTTACGGGTCGGGTTGGTCGGTTTACTAAGATTTTTTCAATTGATTCGACCTGATTGGGTTACCTAAAATTGAAATCGAAATCGACCCTGTGTTAAGCAAAATCGACCTAGTCGGTTTGAGTTGGGTTGGGTCGGTTTGGGTCGGTTTTGGCTCTAAGTTCAACCATGCTTGAGAGTCAAATTGTATTAGAGATTGTGCTTGAGTTGAGGGGCTAAGGGGGGCGAACCAAGTTAGAATAGAAATTATCAAGAAAATAGAAAGTCAAACTGTATTAGAGAAAAAAGACTGAAATTTGTATATTTCAAGAAACCTTCTAATCTAAGTAAAAAAGGACACCTAATTATAATTGTAATTGGTTGCCTATTTGGTGTAAAAGACCATAGAAACTAGGATCCTTTGATTCTTTTCTTTAAATTTTTCCAAAAAAATTCCTTGTCTAGTTGTCTTGCAATACTTGCCATTAATGTCATTCCTAACTAGAAGACTAGAAATTAAGTTAGGTTGTAACTAGGATAGAGACAACTTAGTTAAGTAGGAACTAAGTAGGTTGTAACTACTAACTACCAACTAACTACTAAGTCGGTTTGGTTCGAGTCGGTTTTGATTTTCACACATGAAAACTGAAACCGACTCGAACCATCGGTTTATAATTTTTTTACAACCCAAAATCGGCCGATATTGAAGAAAACCCGGCCAAATCGGGTTGGATCGGTCCGAGTTGATCGGTTTGGTCGGATTGGGTCTTCTTATAAATAGCCCTACTTATGCTCTCCACGTAACCTTAAATATGAAATTGAGTTTTCCTCTCACAAAACGGTCCTCACACCCACCTCACAGAAATTGCAGCCATGCATTTGGAGCATCTCCCCATAAATGAAAATATGAAGTATGGGAAACGTTTCCCGTGTGCAACTGTAATGCGATGTGAAGGTCATTTTGGGAGGAGGAAACTTGAATTCGTAAGACTGCGTTTGGAAGAGGTGTAAAACATCATTAGTGTAAAAATACACTGATGACGTTTGCACTGAACCTTAAATATATATAACTGTTGTATTTTGAAATCGATGTAAAAAGTTGATTAAGTTTTACATCGATAAAACCGATGTAGTATTTACATCGATTATTGATGTAAAACTTTAAATGTGATGAGGTTTTACATCTATCATCAACATAACATCGGTTCTTGATTTACATCGCATCCAAATATAGCCTAAATATGAACCAATATGTTGACTAGAGAGGGGTAGAGTTGTAAATCGAGTTGTGTTGCCCATGGCCCGACACGATAGCACATGGACCGTGTTGGCCTAGGGGTTTTAGGTCCAAGGGCCAGCATGACACGATATGACATGACTATGCGTGTTGTGCTGCTTGTGGCCCATGTGCCAGCAGAGCATAGGGCACGACCTGGTATGACATGGCCCACAACAGGTTAAATGCGGTCTGCCCGAGGAACTAGCCGTTAGGGCCCTTGGGGGACCCTCCAAACGGATAGTTTCAACTTTTTAAGGGATTTTTTTCCAAAAATATCCCTCAATCAATAACTATTTATGTTTTTTGGCTTTGGGGAGGGGGAGAAAAAGACAATAATGTCCCTCCAACAGCTATATCCTTAATATAACATCTAGTTTGGGACTTTGGGGGCATTTGGGTAAAGTGATAAATGACTTTATAATGACTAAAATACCCCTCCCAACAATTAAAAATGACTATTTTTAGGGTATTTTGGGTAATTGAATTATTTTCAATTCCTATAAATAGCCTCTATCGTCTACCATTCTCATCATACCAACTCAGTAATTATGAATTCTTTATTCTTATTATCTCATACTCTCTCAGTCTCTCATCTCATACTGTCATAGTGTCATACACATAGCAATTTAGGAGGCTTTGGCTGACTTCTTCCCCTGAAACCAATTTCTCAACAGTAAGTTCACTAGCCCGATTTGAAAAGTATTTAAAATAGAGGAGGTTGAGGGGAAATGAAAAAGTCATTTGTCAAAAATGTAGGATTAACTTTAGCTTCAGTAGCAAGGGTGGTACTGGCCACTTGGGCAGACATTTTCTCTTCCATGAGAAACAAGAAAAAGACATCTACTTTAAAGATTTGTTGGATGTTGAAGATAAATTACAGGACAAATAAGGGCATGACACTATTACACCTGATGAAGCATATGATTGAAGACTTGGAGTCAAGGAGATGGAGTAATTTTTTCAATTTTATTTAAATTATTTGTTATTTTTTCAACAATGTATTTTTTTTTTATTTTCAATTGTAACTTTTTTACATTTTAAATAAAATAAATTTCCAATTTTTTTATTTCTTTGTTAGATTTTTTTTATTTTTTTCAATGTATTTTAGTTTTACTTCGCAAAAAAATAAAAAAAATCAAAATGTCAAAAAAAAAAACAAACAAAAATAAACAGTTTAGGCCTTTTTGGCCCAACTCGGCCAAGGCCCAAGCCCATGACACAGCCTGTAGCCCATCCGACCTAGATCCATGACACGACACGAGATCACACAGGCTTAGGCCATAGGCCATGCCGGGGCCGATCCCCCAAAATATCTTAGAGGAGGGAGGCACGACCCGTTTTACAGATCTAGAGAGGGGTATTGTATTGAAGGATCAACCAAAGGGTGATTTAATTGGCTCCCCATGGAGTGCTCCTTACTACACATTCCAACCACGTTCCTCTCATGACAAGTATAAGAGATCTTCCCAATGCAAGCTGAGATGTGCAGTGGGATACGTGTAAAGTGAGTTATGTGGGAAGACAATTTTTTTTCTTTTGTATTGAAGCTCACACCTTGTGCTCCAAAAGGAGCTCTAAATCATTTTTTTTCCTTGACATAGTACAGCACTCTTTTCAGCAACTATTTAATATAACTCCTCTCCAAATGAGATCAAATCAACCCCCCACAACATCCCACAGCACATCTCTGCCGTGTATTGGAAATATCTCCCGATGATGACATCATCAGTTTTAATATTATCATCAGGATGTTCTGTGGGACGTTTTGGAGGGCAATCTCTTGAGAGGGCTGATTTAAATTCTCTCTAAATGGTGGTGAGAGACGATAGTAGAGCTCAAAACCACATTTATTCTGGGACTATCCAATTTACATACCAACCGAGCCACCACTCGGACAATTTAAGCTCAACTGAAAAAAGCCCAAATGACATAATAAAATGTTTGGGCCAAATCCCAATCTCTTGTCAACAAAGATTTATTCCAATACGTTTTAATATGATCCATATAATAACACATCAAAGGGTGCTCCATATCAAATTAAGAACAAGACATAGTCTTGAACAAGAAACAAATTGGGTGCTATTATTTTGCCTACTATAAAGTTATATTCTTGATTTAACATGGGTTACTCTTTTGGTGTGGGATCATCTCATTGATGGGGATAAGTTAGGCTGTTAGGGAAAAAGAGCATAGGCTGTTTTGAAGCTTTCTGCACATGACACGATAGCAATATATAACTGTGGGGTAAGAGGGCAATTGCAATCAATATTCTTTTAATTAAAAAGATAAATAAAGAATTAAATGGAATCAGGAAGTTTCAAAATAATGTTTGTTCCAAACAGTCAAGCATTTCTCCTCATTGGTTGATATGAGGAAATGCACATATAAGCAGACAAAGGCTCGGCTATTTAGACAAAACAGTCTGGGCTGTTTGCGAGCTTTCTATGCATGACATGTTATCACACTTGGTCACCTCGCTTGTCTTTTTTCTTTTTTAATTTTTTTAACTAAAAGAATATTGGTTAAAATTATTCTTTTACCCCACATCCATGGTAATATGTCATGCATCGGAGTTGGGATCACCTCCCAACAAATGATGTTCCTTCTCCCAACATGATTCGACACTGTGCCGTGCCGATCATATTGGTTGGGAGGGTGTTGAAATGTTTTTTTTTTTTTTTTTGTGATAGCAAATTAGTGAGCTATCATAAAAGCACTTCTTGAAACTCACCAACCAAGGAAGAAACTAACTGGTTATCCTTTGGAGCAAGATCTAAAAGAAACTTGGGGGCGGGGGGGACAAACAACGTTTACTTATTAGTCACTGATTGATTGAACCAGAAAACTTGAAGAAAGAATGGGGCCCTAGAGTGTAAGTTCCATGAACCCTAACTTAGTTTTAAATAATTTGCAACACTGATTAGTTTGAAACCCTCAAAACGCCAATTTTACAAGGAATCTTCCAATCAACACATGGGGCCCCTTTATTATGCTATGTCATGTACAAAACTACAAACCCAAGAAAAGAAAATCTTCCTAATCAAACTGTTGCCCTCTGAACCTTAGTCCTATACAGCAAGATAAACAATTTTTCCATTGAGAAGTGAAGGAAACAACCCGTTGTGTGTGTAACAAATGATCCAAAGCTTGAGCCAACAATGCAATGCCATGCAGGTCCATATACCCTGTCAAACTCCTGCAATGAAAGATGTATTCATCAACTACCCTCTTTGATATAAGAGAAGAAAGATTGAACATTTGATTGATGATAACTAGAACCTAATTGATGCTGACATACAATGGAATCTATGGAGCTGATCTAGAGGTGTGATGGGTATATGATAATGTAAAAGAATCCAATTTAGGTCAATGAGGTCTCTTAGATAGGATTGGATCCATTCCCTATATACACAACAAAATGCAAGGGGGGAGGCCACAGGTTTCAGAGTTTCACTCCTAATTGTTGGATATATAATAATATAGGTATAAGGTCTAGCCATGGCTGCTAGACAATTCTTGTCATACTTAAGCAAGAAAAAAATTGAATTATGCAAGAACAATCCAAAGGAAAAGGGAAGAAGTTCAATTTTACAGAAGGTTGCTTGTCTAGGCTATTGGTAGCTTGTTTTTTAGGAATTCCAATGTTGCCATACTTTGTTTCTTGATCATAGGCAAACAAACATCCATCATGAAATTCTGATTATGGAGACATGAAGAGAAGAAATTTATGAAGTGGATTGGCTACCTTCTTCATGTTGTAAGCCATGTGTTTAGCACTGAACTTATCTAAGCTGTCGAAGGTTCGCCGAGCACACCGGAAGGCATGTACCTGCATGGGTGCCGGCATGTCAACAGCCAGAACCTTCACCTGCAAGAAAGCAGCCACTGATGATATGTTTGTTTCCACATGGGACACTGACTTCCTTGCCTCCACCAGATCCCCTGCCTCTGCCTCTGTTTGTCCTCGCCCAGGTCCAGTGTATTTGATGTCACAATGGGTCAAGGACCTTCTTAAACCCCAGCTCAGCCGAGAAAGAGCTTTGCTTGGCTTGATAGCTACTTCAGGTTCAGGCCTCCGGCTCTGAATTCCAGCACCAGAGTCATGGGAACCCAAGGATCCTCTTCTCTGCCTCTCATGGGTGTCCATCTCTAGGTGACCCTTTCATGGGTTTGGCTCTATTTACATAATATATATTCTCTTTCTTGGAATCATGAGCACAAGGGAGACTCAATAATGTAATGCTGGTCGATTTGGGTGGTTGAATAATTTAAAGAAGCAACCATGTGTTTTTGCCTCTGATCAAGGATTAATAAAGTGGTGGGGTTGTGCTTGAGAGAGATCTGGTAGTTGTTGTTCCCTGCAACCCTACTTGAGATAATAGGTCTGTGGGGGAGACTGATTGATCCACAGCATTTTTGTCTCACTGAATGAGCTTCTAAACTGACAAGCATACGTGGAAGCTTCCCCTCCACTGTCTGTTTTTTCTGGATGCCCCACTAGAGTTTTTGTCTCTGTCCATCCCTTGATTGTCCTGAAAGGGTGAAAAATGAACTCAACAAGCAGGCTAGCCTCATTTAGCCCCAACCTAGATAATGTCAACTGAGAAAAAAACTGTGGGTCATACGATCAAGTGCTGGTTAACCAGCCCAATACGTCTCTCATGGAGATGCAGTCCCCAAGTTAACCCAAGCCTCCAAGGGCCCGTTCCTTGGGTGATCTGTTGGAAGAACCAGACCAGAGTAGGTTCTGGAAATGGTTGAGATATCCCCATCTGAGAAGAGAAACTGATATGTCAGTGTCATGATATAGAGACATAATTTATTGCTTTATTATGCTTTTTGTCTCTAACAGGGACAAATGGAGAATGACAAGAAAGTTTCAACAAACAGACATTCCATCTAAAATCGGGTGGACTGCATGAATGAGGCGCTCATTTGAACAAGCTTTGCGAGTAGCTGGCGAAAATTTAAAAAACTAATCAGATGTGTGCAAGATGGTTGAGATTGAGAGCTCACAACACATAGAATAAGAACAATATTGAACTGGATTTTGAGGAATTTATATACCAAGTACACCGTGACACTATGGTGACCTCACAGTGCCGAGAATCAAGGGTACATCATCTTTCATCTCCATTCCCATCAATTCAATATGGATGGGAGTTGCATTGCTTGACGTAGACATCTCTCACACACAATTACACAAACACATAGGTCTCAACCATGTAGAAGGGTTCTGATAGATATCTTGGTTATATGTTAAGGAGACTAGTAAATTGATCATTCATTATCAGGGTTTGGACAGCATTTTGAGCACTAAATTATACACAAATCACATCAAGTACTTACAATCGGACCAGGTCTACCCTGACCCAGGGAAAGGAAAGGAAAGATAGGAAAATCTATACAAGGTTTAAAGATTTCACATAACTTTAAGAAAGGAAATTTTGTATTACAAGATTGCCTTTAATCTGTATACTTCACTATCTGGTTTACTGGGTAAAAGTTTTGGTTGGGGCCCATAACTTGCCATCTGTCATATATTAACAAGATTTATAGGTAGGTGAGGGAGACGCATCTGATAATAGGCCCTGGTCCTCTAGATATGAATCACATGGCTTGTCATGTGGATCCCACTGCTCAAATATTGGTCCTCTGCCCTGAGCATAGATAGTCTCCTAGGTTTAGGTATGCATTATATGTAGGGTAGAGTCGGATCTAAGAAAATAGGGTATACTTGGTGGGTAGTGACAGATAGGTATTCCAAACTTTCAAATGCGACACTTAACACTCAGAACTCTCATAAATGGATGCCTTAGTCCAGTGCTGTTAATCTAGGTTACGGTGTGTGGTAAAATTATTTAAATGATGCAGGTTGTAAAAGTAAAATTTGATTTTTTCATGTCAATTTATATTTTTACTTTTTACTTTTTACTTTTTACTTATATATTGAATTGTTGAAACAAAAAATGAAAACGACCAAAACAACCCTGGTTAAATGACACCTTTGTTTTATCCGAGAATGATCTTAGAACAATAAAACCTGATAATGAAATCTGAAAAAATATAAGGATTCAAAAATAAGAACTTGAGAATGAAGATCTTTGAACTATGGTTTCATAAGATGAGAAAGGGCAATACAATTTCGAAAGTAAGAAAAATCAAACTTGAAAATGAAACCCTTTTCTTCTTTGCTAATTAATCCGCGTTTGCTGCAAATCTGCAATTCTGGCCTAAGAATGGATCTAAGAAGAAATATAAGGATTTCAAAATAAACTAAGGTGTATTTTCTGGGAATTCATGGTATTCAATCTAAGAAGAAATATAAGGATTTCAAAATAAACTATGGTGTATTTTCTGGGAATTCATGGTATTCAAATGTTGCATTTGAAAGTTTATGGTACCTATCTGTCACAACCCCCAAGAATACCCAAATATAGGTCTCTCTCTCTCTCAAAACCAAAGAATAAAAGTGGGGCCTAACGAAAGCCTTGCTACAACCGGAATTGATGATTTTGGCAAAGGATGAATAACTTTATTTGTCATAGAGTTTTTAAAGCTTTCTTGTTACCCAGATTTTCCTCATTTTTGTGAAGGAAACAAACAACAAGAGGACAATTGCTCTGAAGGGGAGAGACACAAGAATAACAAAGGCCTTCCCAAATTCTCTTTAACTCTTTATACATCAGTTGTTAAATTTTAAAAAAACTTCCCAATGGGCCAGGCCACCTGAACACGATCTAAGGCCCAATCTATTGGGCTTGGACTGCATATTAAATCTTTAAAAATATAATAAGAGTCCAAGCTGATGGGTGTTGGCCCGGCCTCTCTGTCTGTGGCTTCATCGTCAGAACCCCATCATCTCATCGACAACAAATGCGGTGGCTGGATGGATTATTAATCCTTCATCATATTCTGTAGTTATGGCATCACTGTCCTACATATCTAGGCTGATTCATAAATATTTTATTTATCATTATTTAACACAATTGATGATTCCTTGTCAAACCCGCAAACCCATCTGAATGGGCTGGACTAGTTCTCCAATGGCCTCAACATCATTGTCTATTCCGACCCATTTCTACCCTATAATTGCATGATACTTAGTAGATAGATATATTGCTCGATTCTTTCACTATTTACTGCACTAGAGATCAAATCCAAAGCCCAGAGAGAACAAGGAATCAGATTCATGGAAGCCATAAAGGAGAGGAAGAGGGGTGAATCACTATCACTGTGGACATATAAAGGAAGCATGATGAAAAAGCAAACCCATTTTCATACCTCCATAGAGCATACATCTAATATAGGAAACTAAGGAAATAGACTCTTTTGTCAAAGAGGGTTAGGGCTTCCTAGTATGGAGGAAAGAGACAACACAGGCCTTGTAGGCTAAAAGAAAATTTTGGGGAGTTGTTGATGACTGACTTTAGGGACCACTACTAAAGAAGAGAAACATAAACTCTATTGGTAAGTACAGCTTATATTATCAAAATCTAATCTTCCTATACTTTGATAGAAATGGAAATGGCATTAAATATTTTCTTTTTCTTTCTGGTCATGATCTAGAATTGAGCATGGAGGGATGTTATCAAGCCAACAATCACCTAGCTCATATTGAATGATTAGTGGTTTTGGTAATATTTTGATGATTAAGATATTGGGTTTAATCTTTAAGATTGCCCCTTTGATTATTATTTTTATTATTATAACCTTCACTTTCTTCACCATCAAGTCAGCATTTCGTGAAACATGCGGCGAATGCCAAGTGTCGTCCGACCATTACAAGACGTGTTGGAACACGCCACGTGGCCTATAGGTGATTCCATAATTTCTGCTAACAACCAGGATTTATTAATGTAAGTGGTACCAAATCTGTGCCAAACACAGGCTTGATTTGCTTTAGCCTAGGCCTTATAGAGATTTAGAGCTTGAGCCAAGTCATGAAGAGCAATGCTCCATCGATGTTGAGCCCACATTCTATAAATGGCTACTAGCTCGATCCACATGAAATGCAAAGAAAGAATGTAAGAGAGTTAAAAGAGTGAAGAAACAGCTCTCTTGCTCCAGCACCAGCCATGCTCCTTTCTTTGGATTCATGTCTTTTTGTGCTTCTGTTACCCTCTACAGTCTCTAGTTCTTCTTTCATGTAAGCTTATGGAAACGAGAAAATTGCAGAAATGGAAGCTCCTTCCAGCCCAAAACAGTGTATCCTTACTTTGATCCCTTGTTTTGGACTGAAGGGAGCTCCTAATTCTTCTCTTTTCTCTCTTTGGGGAACCTCTGATCGGCTTCTGAGGTGAGAACGGTCTTGATGATGGATTTGTCATCTCCCATGATCAACTGCTGTGGGTAAGTGTTCATATATATTCTTTTTAATTTGTCTGTTCAAGAGAAGTACTGCAATCCCATGGCGATCAAGGTACACTGCTCTTACTGTGTTTTAAGTTTCTGTAATATTCGACTTAATTTGGCCATCTGGGTTTTTATTTTTGTGCTTGAAGTTTTGTCTTAAGTTCGATGAAATACTGATCTCAGGTAGGGTTTCATGAATTAAACATAACGCATGATCTATTTCTTTCTCCTTGAAGAAGAATAGAAGATTATTTCTAGAAAAATTTTCGATTGCAAACTGCATCTGGGGACAATAACCTCTACTTAATAATTGGTGTTTATCATGTAATCAGACGGTTGATCTTCTTTTCAAGTTTGGGTGGGAAAGCTTCTCTCATTGTTGCTTGGCTACTTCGTGAGGTAGGATTGGTTCAGTAGAAGAAACGAATTGAAATTGGGTTAGAAAAGGAAATTAGAAAACCTTGAGGCTCTTTTGAATCAGATACAAACTTTGCACCTGGTTCAGTTTTGCATCTGTTTGTAATTATGATTTGGCTTTTATCTGATACAAACTTTGTATTGTATTTTTTTTTTTTGTGCGTGTATTTGTTGACAGTGTAAAATTTGCATCTGAAAAATTAATGCAAAATTCGCACCACATCCCACTCATATAAAGTGGGACAACTTCATCTAGCTTCCTACCTCAATCCCTAAATAAATAACCCTCCCTACCTCCATTCTCTTACAAATAACGTGGGGATGATATCATCATACTTCTCTCAAACAAATAAGCTGAAGCAAAAGTTGACCCGAATTTACATTCAGCCTATTTGCATTTTAATTTATGTTAACTAATGCAAATGAAATTTGCACTGCAACCAAAACGAGCCTGAAAATCTTGATACTAGACCTTCCCAGAATATCAAATAATTAACACAAGTACCCAGTTGTGTGAGGTATTTAGGGCCACAAATGAATCAAATTGGAAATTGGATTTGAATATTATACAAATTAATAAATTAAAATGGAAATAATCAAAATATTATATATATATATATATATAATTAATAAAATGAACTGAAAATGGCTTTCATATTTTATATATATCATGAACAAAATGGCTTAATAAAGATAATTTCCATGAGACATAAACCTATCATTCTTTAACAGTCATATAACCCATCACACCCAATTAACCATGATCTGATCCAGACTGGGACTCACTTAATTCAGGAGGACTATTTGAATCTTTTGTCTGTCAATGGGATTGATATGTTTTGCAGAAAATGATGAAAAGATTAATTCAAAGGTTTTTAAAGGGTATTTATTAATGAATATATTTTGTATGCTCCAATGTATAACTTCGAGAAAATATTGTTAATTTGTTGAATTTG